TTCTGAAGAATTTGAGTCTGTTTGCAGTGAGTCTGGCATTATTCACATCTTCTCAGCTCCACGCACTCCACAACAAAATGGAGTCGTGGAACGAAAGAACAGAACTCTCATTGAGTGTGCCAGGACTATGTTGCTTGAGTTTAACCTTCCTAAATTCTTTTGGGCTGAGACTGTTAGCACAGCATGTTATTTGATAAATCGCGTGATAGTTAGAAAAGGGATAAACAAAATGCCTTATGAAATATTCAAAAACAAAACTCCTAATCTGGCTTATCTTCATCCCTTTGGTTGTCCCTGCCATGTTCTGAATACAAAGGATAAACTGGGAAAGTTCGATGCTAAATCTGATCAAGCCATATTCCTTGGGTATTCAGTTAAAGGACAAGCATATCGTGTGTTCAATAAACGTACTAAAAGGGTTGAAGAATATGTCCATGTAATTTTCAATGATACTCACTCTAGCTGCAAGCAAGCTGTGCAGGAAAATCAGGAGTATGACCTGCTGGAAATGACTCACAAGATATCAGAGGAACCTGAGCATCTAGAGGAAGATGATGTAATAGAAGGACAACCCTCAGACGCCAACAATACTGAACCAATCACTACTGTTGAGGACGAATCACTCATCACTCCTCCATCTGCGCCACCTCATATACAGAAACGTCACCCAGCAGAACAAATCATTGGCAACATTAACGATGGACTTCGCACCAGAGGTAAGTACATTCCTGGACAGTATGCATATGTGTCACAATTTGAACCAAAAAATTACAAGGAAGCGCTTAAAAATGATGATTGGTTCTTTGCTGTGGTAGATGAACTAACTCAGTTCAAAACTCTGCATGTTTGGGATCTTGTTCCTCGTCCTTCAAATCAATCTGTGATAAGAACCAAATGGATTTTTAGAAACAAATCTGATGAAGAGGGTGTCATTACTAGAAACAAAGCTAGGCTAGTTGCCCAAGGGTACACACAAGAGGAAGGGGTTGACTATGATGAAAACTTTGCCCCTGTTGCTAGACTAGAATCTATACGTCTCTTGTGTGCTTATGCTTGTTATATGGGATTTCCTCTTTTTCAAATGGACGTGAAAAGTGCTTTTCTAAATGGAGACATTCAAGAGGAAGTTTATGTCTCACAACCTCCGGGTTTTGAGGATCATCAGTATCCAAACCATGTCTATAAGCTTAGAAAAGCTCTGTATGGGTTAAAACAAGCTCATCGAGCTTGGTATGATAGACTTACATCTTTTCTATGCAACATGGTTTCACTCAAGGATCTGTTGATAAAACCCTTTTCATAAAACACAAATCAAATGACATTATCCTTGTTCAAATCTATGTCGATGATATTGTGTTTGGAGCAACAAACACTGATATGTGTTCAGAATTTTGCAAATCAATGAAAGACAACTTTGAAATGAGTATGATGGGGGAACTGCAGTACTTTCTTGGTCTTCAAATTAAGCAAACCAGCACTGGCACTTTCATAAGTCAGAACAAATACATAGCTTCTATGCTAAGTAAGTTTGATATGATGAATCTTAATTCCAGTCCTACACCCATGGCTGTCAATTTAAAACTTGACAAAGACGAAACTGGTATTTCAGTTGATGAGTCTAAATTCAGGGGTATGATTGGATCCTTATTATACTTAACTGCCAGCAGACCTGACATACAACACAGTGTGTGTTTATGTGCTCGCTTTCAATCAAATCCTAAAGAGAGTCATATGTCTGCTGTCAAAAGAATTTTTAGGTATTTAAAAGGTACCATGGATGTAGGGCTATGGTATTCTAAGCATGACTTGTTTGATCTAATTGGCTACAGTGATTCAGACTTTGCTGGTAGTCTGACTGATAGAAGGAGCACTTCAGGTAGTTGTCAGTTTGTAGATACCTCTTTGGTCTCCTGGTTTTGTAAGAAACAAGGGGCACTTGCCCTTTCAACAGCAGAAGCAGAGTATATAGCTGTTGGGAGTACCTGTACTCAATTGCTGTGGCTAAAAAGTTAATTACAGGACTATGGATTTACCATGTCGAGTATACCTTTACTGTGTGATTATACCAGTGCCATATGCATGTCCAAAAATCCAGTTCAACATTCCCGAACTAAGCACATAGAAATTAAATATCATTTTATTCGGGATCTCGTCAGTGCTGGCACAATTAATTTACAGTATGTTAACACTGAATTCCAACTTGCAGATCTATTTACTAAGCCTCTTTCCTTTGATCGATTTTCATTCCTTTGCTGGGAAATTGGCTTACGATCTCTGGCCTCTATCACGTCTGATTTAGGAACCTAGCTTATGCTAAGTTTCCTTTTTTTGTGTTGTAATTGATTGATTGAGATTTTCTTTATTTTTTTCCCTTTGCTGTGTGTTCTTGCTTCTTTTGATCTTTGGCTTTCCTTAGTTGTTGGGTCCGAGTCTGCCTGTTTATTTTCTTTCCTTTAGTTGTGAGCTTAGGACTAGTCTATTTATTCGTGTCTTAGTTCTGTTGTTTTCTCATTGATCTTCTGTGTCTCATTCCTGTCTTTCCCCCCAAAGGTGTCAGCCATGATGTATGCCTTTGCCTTGACCTACTCTAGCTCCTTTTTCCATGACCCTGTTCTGCCAAACTACCATCGTCACACTCAGTCCTTTTCCAACCGTCCCATCAATCCTTCTACCATCCTGAACCTTCCTGATTTCTTACCTCTAGGATTGGATGTGATGTCGTTCGTTCAGAACCTAGGTTGGGAATTCCTGCTGTCTCCTAAAGCCTCCTCTACCCTTGTTTGCCCTGAAGCATTTAGGTTTTTCTTCTCTAACCTGCGTTACTTTGGCCTTCAATCTCGCACCCTGTCTTCTCTTGTGCATGGCCACATGATTACTCTCCCCCTACATGATATCAGTCGTCTACTTCATATTCCTGCTTTTGGGGAGGCTCTTGCCCATCCAGATGAAATCCCTTTATTCAATTTTGATGTAGTCTCTGAGGCAGTTCACCTCACTGGTCATGAACCTGACCAGGATCTATCCTTCTCTGCGGATCTCCTTTACCCTTCCCTGAAAACTTTTCACTACATTTTGACCAGAGTCTTTCTTCCTCGCTCGATTTTCCTCAATCGTGTCCTTCCTCTAGATCTGTGGATTCTGTCCCATGTTGTTGCTGCTTTCCCTCTTGACTTCTCTCACCTTCTGTTTGGAGCTCTTCTACCCTTCATCGATCATAATTTTCATGCTCCTCTCCCGTTTGGTGCTATGATTACTCGTCCGTTGCTTGCCTTGCCACTCAATCTGTCTCCCTATCGTACTGAGAATCCTTCTCTGTGGCTTACCGCGGATGACGTACTTCATGAAATTGGGATTGCGATTGAGAGGGAGGATGATGACATATTTCACTGGATCAGCAGCGACTCCGAGGTTGAAAATGAGGGTGACGAAGCTGTGGAAGCACCAGAGATAGTAGAACCAGAAGTTGCTGCCCTTGCTCCTGTTCCTCTTGTATCTTTTGCAGTTGTTCTCCAAGAGCTCTATGGCTCTGACTCTGATTAGAGTCAGCTATAGTTTGAATAGATTCTGGTTTGCTTTTATAGATGTTTGTGTGAGGATTCTTGGTGAGCTTGTTTTCACTTGGATATTGGTCTTACTTGATGTATTGCTCAGGGAGAGCTTCGGATTGTGATTGTGTTTTATCTGTCTTTTGGAATTGGAGTTATCTTAATTGATGTCTTGCTGCTTGATCCGTGGAGGAAAGGTGTTTGTTAAATGTCTGCAGGTTTGAAGCAATCTGCAATCTCCAACTTAGGGGGAGATTGTTGACTTATTCAAGTTTGAGATTGAATCTGAAAGATTGCTGCATCAAAGCCGCCATTTAAGGAATCAGTTTGCTGTCAAGGAAAGTTGCATTTCCTGTGTGCAACGGCTAGCTTGCCTCTCTCTATATATTCTTGCTACTGATTTCGTGAGGAGTTACTTTTGCATAAGCTCTCAGTGGCATAGGTCTGAAGCTAGGAAATTGCATAAGGGGTTTGACAATCTCAGGGGTAGAGGTTCTGAGTGTGTCAAGGCAAATTAGATCAAGGCTGATCTTGGTGGTTTGTTTATCTTTGTTCTTTCTTTTCGTTTCAATACTCTTGTCTTTCTTTTTGTTTGAAAAACTGAAAAATAATCAAAGGTCTCCCAGACCATATTCTGGGACGAGGAAGTAAACCATTGCACTTGGGCGAACCTCGTTAAAAAACATCGTGTGTCATTCCTTTACTTGCTCTACTTTTACTTTCTCGATTGGTTCTTTCAGTCCTCTGTTCTTCCCCTGTATTTCCTCTGCTGAGGGATTGTGCTCTGCACAAAACAAAGAAGGAAACGTTTTTGGTTTCCTTTACAAAACAGAGACTGGGCTTGAACTGTTCAATTTTGGGCTCGGGTCTTATTAAGGTTGGAAAGTGGGCTTGACGACTTTGGAGCCCAGACATAAAGAGAAGGAACGTAGAGAGTCACGAACTCTTTCCTTCATCGTTCCCTTCTCTGGAAGTCTGATCTCAAAGTCACCCTCAACCTGAACCCTAAAATTCCTCAACCTCTTTCAATTTCACCACCACTCGCTCGCAACCCAGCTCCAACAAACGCGACCCGTTTTCCTCGTCCACAAACGGATTGATCAACGGGCCATCACACCCTTTCTCCGACGGACAAACGAACAACCACCAATTATCCACCATGGCCTTCCTAAACTCGTCCCCATTCGGTTCCTTCCCACAGAAGTACGGGTGGATCATTGCCACCCCTCGAATCCTCACCGCCCGACCCGAATCCTCTTTTAGCTTCCATGACAAAATGATGCGACACGTTCTCCCCGCAACTGTCCCCTGCCATGCCAATAGAGATCATAATATTGTTTGGATCCCTGGATTCGTAAGTTCAATTTTGTAGCATTCAGGTACTAAAATGTCAGACTGAACTACTTTATGTACTAACAATTCTATTTTGTTACTAACATTTACCTGCCAAGTAAACTCGGTCCAAATCGGCGTGATCCTTGAGCCAGGACTCACCATGGCCTCCAGCGCCGGTGATCCACTCAAGTGCGGCGAATGCATCGTACTAGGGCGTGGGGATTGGATTCTCCGGTGCGAGGCGGTAATCGATGGAGGCGAGGATGACGTTGGATTGGGCGACGATGCGGTTGAGGGCAAAGTGATACTCTCTGGAGGAGGTGGAGGCGGCAAAGAATCCGTCGCCGTGGTAGTAGATTACGAGGGGGAGCTTCTTCCGGCTTGTTTTCGAGTCGTCGTCGGTTGTGGCAAGGAGAATATGAAGGAAGCGGCTGCGCGCGTTTGATAGAGAAACATGGAAATTAAAGGGTGATGGTAAAATTTGAGTTCTGAAAATCTCTAGATTTATAATAGATGAGATTGTGTTTTCGATTTAGAAGAGTTTATTATTTGTTTATTGGATTTGATTAGGAATTTGTTTGATTAGATTATAGATTTATGACCATGCACTAAATCTTACTTCTTGATATGAAATTTGCAAGCCTGTGGGTCGGGTTTATGAATTTGGACCTATAAAGTCTATATATGGAACTCACGGATTTAGTCATCCCCCAACAAATATCAAGCAAACAACAGCTTTAAAGTCCATAATGGATTAAATTTGGAATCCAAATCTATAAGCAAACGACCTCTAAACTATAAGAATTGCTTGTTTGCGACAAACAATTTAGCAAAAATGATAAAATAAGGAAATTTATGGACAATCCTGTAAAACATGTGGCCGACTTTTCAAGTAGTTTAGAGATATGACAGCATATTGGCTATTCCCATATTTTTATTGGGATTTAATTTTATATAGTCTTAATATAGTTGAGATAAAATGTACTTTTTCCGGATACATAAGTATACATATGAGATGTTCATTCATGGGATGAGGAGAGTGAGACAGAGATCTTATATGGTGCTAATACCTATTTTATTAGCATGGTAACTGCATTTTGTTTTTATGACTTTTTATTTTAAAGGATTGACCATTATTAATGTGGATTTGTAAAGGGAGACGCATGTTTGTCATTATTAAAAATTAAGGGTACATACGTGATGTGTTGATCATTAATGTTGCATCTCGTGCCTCATCACAAGTATCATAAAGCATATCACAAAATACAGACTAGAAACACAACAAACACACCACAACAATGAATGCGAGAAGTGATCACATAGGTGAATTTGACAATCGTCATTTTGAACTCTTATGAGATACCTTAGGTATAAACCCTATGACAGTCGTCATTTTGTACTCTTGAGATATACCTTAGGTATAAATCCCAACTTCTCTACTCGCGGAACATAAAGAAAGAACATACATGAAGAAATAGGGAGAATTATGCTCAATGAATTTAATTTACCTCATAATCTATGGGCTCGATACATAACCAATTGAGTTCTTATTATAAGAAATATAAGAGGAGCATACAGAATTTATCTCCTCACCATTATAAGAAACATCAAGTTATCTCTATTTTAAAAAATCTGAAGAGGATACTGGTGAACACCTTCCTAAATCTTCTTCAAATATATGACCTTCTAATACTAACTATTCACCTCATCATATTCAAAAGACACACCTATCATCTCTAATTATGGGAGACCCTACAACTCAGCGGGTGACCAGATACATGCTCATTTATACAAATTTTGCAGTCGTTTCCTTGATTGTTTCTCGGTAATTTGGTGTGAAAACGCTCTCTCTTATGTTGATTTTACGTTAGGATGAGTTCCTTTTTCATATTTTAGGGCCTAACACTAGGAAGAGCTTCGGAGTGAGTTTAAGACTTTTAGAAGTAAGAGAGAGAGAGAGAGAGAGAGAGAGAGAGAGAATTCTTCTCCCAAACCTTGAGAATAAGGCAAAAAAGCATATCCACTTCTCAAAGTCACAGTCTGAGCCCTCAAGTCAAGACGAGAGAGAGAGAGAGAGAGAGAGAGAGAGAGAGAGAGAGAGAGAGAGAGAATTCTTCTCCCAAACCTTGAGAATAAGGCAAGAAAGCATATCCACTTCTCAAAGTCACAGTCTGAGCCCTCAAGTCAAGACCATGACTTCTGGCCGTGGCTTTGCCTCTGCTGCAAGTTTAAATTGGCCTTTTGTGAGTTCTGAAGGGGAGAGTTGGATTTATTTATACCAAACATTACTGACAACAAGAAATTTTTGTCAGTAAAAGTCATTATTAGCGACAAATTTTAGATGTTATCCCTAATTTTTGTCACTAATGATAGTATTATTTGTAGTGCACCCAAGGAAAGAACCCTAGAGGGGGAGAGCAATTCAAGGTCGATCTTGGAGCGAAATTGGAGGATTTATTTACCATTCAAACTCGTAGAACAAGTTTGAAAGTGAAGATTGAAGATCAAGAGCATATTTTTGTATTCTTTTTCCTCCTTATGGACTAACTTTCTTTCCATTGGGTTTGAGAAATCTTAGCGATGTTTTTATTATTATTTGAAATTGCATGTATGATTACTCCGACTTGTTAAACTTTAGTTCATATCCAATATATGCATGTTTTACATATAAATTTTGTTTTAATCGAGATTATTTATTTCTTCTTTGACCGAGGAAAGAAAATATTTCATTAGGTTGATAGGGCCTCATCGATTGGGACTAGGGAATCAATTTTGTGAGAGAGTTGATAAATTGCTTTGTATTGCATATGAATTCAACCAATAGAGGGTTTTAGTGTGGATTTCCTTGATTGGTTGTCTTAGTTGAGGATGGTATCCCTCTAAGAAACCGAATCAAGAGGGCATTGATTGCTTTAATCGAGATTCAAGGCTTGTTGAGGACTCTCTGCACTATGAATGAACAGTGAAATAAGTTTGAGAATCATCAATCATTAACCAAACTAGTAGCTAAGGGGAATCATTACCTGAGTGAGCCTCCCGGAATGTAATTAGTTAGGTTACTCTTTTCGTAGTTTGTTAGGGTGTTTTAGTTGTTTAACCTAAATCTGATATGCTAAATAATAATTCAAAACTTAAAAATAATAAATATAGATACTCGTGAATATGATATTTATTATTTGTTGTTACTAAACTACAACTTTCATTGGTCACATTTTGCCAATGTTAGAAGTGTTGTCATGACCAAAGCAAAAAACATGCTTGCCCTTTATTCTGTTCATTGTGCCTTGCTCTCACAAATAGAACCCTAGACCAAAGAAATAACCGGTCAATGATGAGTACTGGAACATGGCCATGCATGAGGAACTAAACCAACAATTTCATTAAAATTTATTGGTCGACCATTTGCAAGAAGCAGATGACCATTTTTTGAAGCGATGATTTTTTTAAAGCGGTCCACCATTTTCTCCAAATCGATAACTTGTAAATCATTTATTATGTCTCAACACAAAAGCTTAACATTATATATATTTTGATTTATCTCTGCGTGAGGATCAATTGACTGCATTGCACCACGTCACACTTCCACTTAATCACAGAAAATGCACTTCGCCAACATAACTTGGACAAATACTCTGTTTTTTTATATAAGGATGATACATCATATATTATTATTTTTTAAGGTTAGATGTTACTTAAAAGATTCGAACTTGCAATCTACATATTCAATACTAATGGTATAACCACTAGGTCAAGTCATTGTTCGCTCGATAAAGATAATAACGATCCAGACAACTTGAATACCACACATCTCATATTGTTATAAATTTTACAGAAACCTCACTTACTAATTCGCTACAAGGTCGTTGGTCCAAATTATATTAGGATTTTAAATTGTTGATTAAGATTTAAGATCAAAATAACCTTTATGAGCTTTTTAGCTAGAAAGAGGAGCTAAATTAGTCATCAAATTCAAATTGTGTCGAAAGCTAATACCAACAATTCCATTAAAAATGGGCCAAGCCCAAAACACCACAATTCCATTATTCGCGGTTGATGAAGAAAGCCCAATTTTCAAACAATTCCGCAGCAGCTTCACAATCCGAATCATAAAGAAAGAAAATATGATCCTCTCCTTTCGTTTCCCGGAGCTCAACCCTCGATTTACAATTATGCCCCTCACTTTTCAATAAACTACGATAGTAAGCCTTCCCTATGCCGCACAGAATGTCGCTCTACGCCACGAAAATCACCACTCGCCAGCATCCCAGCTCCTCCACACTCGTCGGGGCTCCGCCCGCAAACGGATTGATATAAGGGTCGTGGCAGCCTTCCTTCGAGGGGCAGACGAACGTCCACCAATTGTCCACCATGGCCTTCCTCGTACTGTCTGCTTTCTCCAACCCGATTGGGTCTTTCCCCCAGAAGTGCGGGTGGATCATAACCAGCCCCTGGATTTCCACCGCCAAATTGCTCCGGCGTCGTCGAAGTGCCAAGTGGTGGATTATGTTTGCGCCGGCGCTGTCGCCTGCAAACAAAGAAGGATCTGCGCATAATTAAATTATATTATACGGGATTTGAAATGCACGTATGTACGCATACAAAAATTAGAAAAGGACGTACAGTTAGAAATCAAATTATGCATTCTTTTTCATTTTAACATTCGTGAAAAAAAATGTTCAATATGGTTTTCCAAAAAAACCTATATATAAAATCCGTCAAAATAGTGATTCCACTTAGAATTATAAGCTATTAAATTTTAAAACCTAAATTTTGAATACATTTGTAACTAAAATGTGTGATTATACACAACGGCGGATCCAGGACACGGTAGAGCACTGGGCCGCATTTTATTAAAAAATAAGATACTATAAAAATCATTTTTCTTACAATATCAATTGTGCACATCCATCTTTTAAATTTTAATGTAGTGAATTTATCAATAATGGAGTCTACATCAATAACAGTAGCATATTCTCGTTCAGATAAAATAGTTAACCAATCGGCGAAAAATTCATCGCTCATTTTATTGTTGAAAAAGGTTTCTCTCCATAGTAGTTGTTGAAACGGGCAATGTCAACATTAGACAAATAAATCGACTAATCAATTTGTATTGTGTGTCAATCCCTATTTCCACCAGCTACTTGAGTAATTTTTCAAAGGAACAAGCCTCATATTTCTTTTAGTCTTTTACGTTTTAGGCTTTTAGAATTTTAGGTTTCATTGTTTGTTTTTCTTTAGACGAGAGTCATTGGAGCTAAAATTTCCAGGCTAAATTTAGAATTGTGATTTGAATATGTTCATCTGACCCATTTTTCTATTTGCACGCAATTTTTTTTATAAAATAACACTAGACCGAATGGCTAAAATCGATAAACTCATAAGAATTATACTAGCTCCGGATCCAGAGGAGGACTGGGCCGTGGCCCGGGGTGGCCACCCCCTGGATCCGCCATTGATTATACATAAAAACATTTTGTTAACTTAAAAGTGTAAAAACGTAAATGTTTAAGTTTTAAAGCACTGCATTGTACAAACTGCATCCTCGACAGGACTGTCCATTACGTGGCAAAAACGACTCTTACATCGATAGCTCAACATTAAGTTGACTCTGCATTTTACTTTTTAAAAATTGTAATTCCCTATCTATTACCATCTATATAGGACCAAAAAAAACGTTGCGCGCATTAATTACCGGCAAGGAATACTTTCTCGAAGTCCGCGTACTCCCGGAGCCACGGCTCGTGAGGTTTGCCGCCGGCGAGCCATTCGAGGGCGGCCCAGGAATCCTCGTACGCAGCGGGTAGCGGGTTCTCCGGAGCCAACCTGTAGTCGACGGAGACGGCAACAACGTTGGCTTCCCGGACCAGGCGGTTGAGACAGTGGTGGTACATGGGAAAAGCCGGCGACGCCACGATGAAGGCTCCGCCGTGGTAAGACACCACGACCGGGAGCTTGCGACCTTCGGGTACGAACTTGGGGAGGTAGATACGGGCCGACAGTTTGGCTGGCGGTGATGATGAGATCATGATGTCCTTGGACAAGACGCCGGTTTCGGAGTCGAACCCGGCGGGAATGGATTCGGTTCCGGCGTATCTCTCGACAGTTCCATCAGTGTAGACCCGGAGAAAGGGGAACACCTCTCTGGAAATTTGTTTGGCTGGAGACATGGTGGAGAGGACAGAAATCAGGGGAATGCAATGCAATTAATGGAGTGAAGTACAAAGGCCAGAATTTGTGTCTTTTATAAGCGAAATAAAAACCATATTACATTATTCACCGTGACCAGGTCCAGCCCGGGTCAAAGATTGTAGTACTGTCACTAGATAACTTTTTTGTGTATATGCTATTTAAGTGTACGATTGGTTAGACTTTTCAACACTCACTGATTTTTAATATCCATATATGTCTATTTTAAAGTTTAATTGTAGTAGTACGTGCTTGTTGTTACCCAAATATAGGTATAGTTAGTGAAACTTCTTTGTTTGTGGAGAATCTGGTGAAGTTGCATTGCATCGGTATCAATATGACGAACAGGTAACGACTCTAATTTTAGTGATGATCTAAAGAATTTATATTTACAGCATTAACCATATAGTTAGAAACACACTGTTATTTGTATTATTCGATAAATGATTTTTTGTTCTTTCTTCTTTTTCACAAATCAGTTTGCAAAAACATACAAAAGTTGATTGATGAGTTACATCACGCATAATAATCAAAGATACAAATCAAATGGAAGTTGAGTATGTTTTTTGACGGGTCTATCGAAATTTCAAGAAGGACCATTACATGAGACGGAATTAAAACCAATACAAAGAACATGATAAAAAGACTTCCAATTAGCCCACCCTTCCCTGCTGCACTGAATGTAAGAAGGCCCGTGGTATCTAAATTTTAAGTACGTAGTTTCATTCTCTTGCATGTGCCATTTGTTCCATTTTATTGTTTTTGCTATATGGATTAATACCATTTGGCCGTCAACTGATTCCCTTTTTTTCAATCAAAACTTTCTTTTAGCATTTGGTTGGGAAGTTCCAGATTTTAAATAGAGGAGTTGAGGAATGGATGCTGGCGTCAAACTAATGACCGATTCGTTGTTTTTGTCGTTACAAATTAGCTGTCAATCAGCGGGTTTGGGTTGGATTCAATCGAATTATGAGTTAGTCAGGTTTTAGGTATATTGGGTTGCGGGTCAGTTAGGATTGGGTAAGCCAGGTTGCGAGGTCAGTTGGGTCACGGGTCAGTTGAGGTGTGGGCAGGGGTGACCCAGGCACCCCTAAATTTTGTAAAAGTGATTTTCCAACCTCCGCTTATAATTTACTTATGGACATAAAAAAAATATAATTAATAGTCCGGGACACCCTGAAATTTGAAAATACGATTGTCCTACTCTCATTTTTAGTTTGCGTATATGAATATAAGTGGTAGTTTGGGTAATTCAAACTCGGGATACTACTTATAATATTAATAAATATAATTTTCATTAGGATACAACTTTTTTTGTTCTATTCTAAACACAGTAATAGCAAACTCATATTCTCTATCATTAATTATTTTCAAAATCTAACAACTAATCTAATTACAAGCTACCGTTGTATTGTTTTTATGGTTGTACGACAAGTGTTAAAAGTATATTTTCACCTTGAGTTACATCAAGAACAAATTTAGAAGTCGAATATGCGTCAGTTAAGATTGTTTAGTAAGATATACCGAGACAAATTTGTTGAGCAGTGTAGACACCAAGTGTATTTTACAATTTTTTTAGAATATGAAAATAAATCATAGACTTTTTTAACTTCTACGAGTTGGTATTTTCTTATTTAAGAATTATTTAATTATTATTAATCATTATTTTTAGTTTACTTTATTTTTTGAAGAGGACACCCCTATATAAAATTCCTGGGTCCACCACTGGGTGCGGGTTCATCGGGTTGCTAGTTAAATGGGTTACGGGTCGGGTGGGTTGAGAATGGATCAGGTTGCGGTTTGTTCGGGGCAACGCATTGTGTTACTTACTCTTTACTCGTTACAACTTACACTAATTTCAAACAATTTTTGCAATTTTTATAAAAATTTATTTCAACTTCATATTGGCTCATGCCTAACTATACCAATCCCGATGAAAGGCAAAGTGCAACCTTCAACCGGGTGAGTATAGAGCAAGTATTTCTAAATATCAACTCACATGGTTTATCTATCCTTACTTTAATGAACTATAAGTTATCTAGCGATCGATTTGTTGTTTTAACTAATAATTAAACAAACAAGCAAGTAAACTGAGATTGACCTTCAACTGAATGAGTATAGAGTAAGTATGTTGAAATATCCACGGGCACGGTCTACCTATACTTGCTTCAATGAACTATATGCTATCTAGCGATTGAACTATTGTTTTAACTTTTAACTACTAAACTAATCAAGCATGCAATTAAATTGAGATTGAATTCAATTAAGGAAAATTCACTCAGATGTGTTTCCCCATAGTCTATGTCGAGTTGACATTGTGACACCCTATTATGACTCACACTTATCATCTACCGTAGAGAGCTGTAATCTAGATAGCACTCCCTATTTGATTTATCCTATCCCGCTCAGTGGCACTACCCGTCTACCCGGAGAGGCATACCAACAACCGATCTAGGCAATTGAGGCAACCAAAGCTACTCCCTCAAAAGGGGAATGACTCGATACAACACAAGGAATCTAATTACACTCATTCATAGACTCCAAGTGTTGAATTGACAATGCTTTTCATTAAGAACAAGGAGATATTCTCTCACCTAGGTTAATTTGCGGCGGGGAGCCGAAAATGTTTTATGAATTTTGTGATGTGGTGAGGTACAAGTATGCTTTATATCATTATATGTTTTCTGGTATGCTTTATTATATTTGAGATGTGTTTTGTTATGTTTCCAGTTTGTGATTTTTTATCCCCCGATTAATGCACAGTACACATGTGTGTCCCCTGCATTTTTAATAATGACGAGCGTGCTCTACACTCTATATATCCACATTAATTGTGGCCAATCCTTTTGAATAAAAAACGTTAACAGAATGAATTATGTTTATTAACTGAAGCTAATATTAACACCATGCTACAAAATTGGGTGTTAGCACCTCATCCCTTTCCCTATTTTGAATCTCAATCACGATTTTGTGTCATAATTAATGTCCAGTAAATCAAACCACGATACAGTAAGTTGTGTTCAAACCTAGAATGGTGATACAAAACAAACATAAGAAAATATCAAATTGAATCTATCACCATTATAAGAAAATGATTAAATTAAAATAAAGAAACCCCAAACATGAATAAAAAAAGTTTGAAATCCTACACTCATTTAATTTATTCACCAGGAGTCATCGCTTGTATGACACCCTTCACCACCAGTCAGATAGAAAAACAAAGAATTGGTGGATTCCCTACTCCAAACCTTTAAAATGCTCATGTGCAAACAAACATATAGAGGTTGTTTGGATGAGTGATTGTCTTGAGTTATTTGGGTCTAAATAACTCGAAATGAGTTATTTGAACAGTAATAACACGTTTGTCTCATTTACCATGAGTTGGGTTATTATTTCATGGGTTATTGAGAAATACCGCAGAAACGCGGTAATCACAATAACTGGGGGAGGGGCAGTTATTTCAGAATAACTCATCGACGCCTCTTTCTGCCCCTTTATGCCCTTGCCTCTCTCCTCTCTCCTCTCTCCTCTCCCCCTTTCTCTTTTCTTCGAAAGCTTCCATGGAAAACTGACCAAAATTGATTGAGGTTGAATTAGTTCTTCTGCTATTTTTGAGTTCCTCTCTTCATGCAGATGACAATGAGTAGCGGAATCCCTATGTTGCAGCGGCTAAAAAAAAGAAGGGTTAGCCGGTGGCGACGACGAACAGAGAGAAAGAGAGAAGACGACTCCAAATCTGCCACCGGCGGGGGAATAGAGAAATCAAAGACCTCTCGCAGCTGTTCGAGGAGATGATGATGGAGAAGGAAGAGCTGAGATTTGCTACCACACGATGTTGAATTGCTCTGTTGCTCCTTCCCCTGTAGACGAACAGAGACGAAGAGGCGAAAGACGAACAGAGGCGAAGACGCGAATGGCGACTTCTTTTGGTTTCCGGTTTTGGGGAATCCATAAAGATCTTGAGTCTCCGTTTGCTGGTTTTGCAGGTTCATTCCAGGAAATTTCATCAAGAATTACTGCTGAAATTTTTTGGTCTGAATGTTAGGAAACATAGGATGGTTGAAGTTGATGAACCGATAAGGATTAAATTCCAATGGCTGCAAAAGCGATCGATGGGTGGAAAGAACATCCAGTTTTGCGAGTCCTGTGGTACTTTCTAGAGAGTGAATTGCTTTTGGCAGCCGTGGAAGGAGTAGGGCTTTCTTTTTGTAATGCTCATATCCAGAATTTCGCAGCAGGTGGTAATGAATGGTTTATGATGAATGAAAGTTGTAGAGAGCCTGAGAATTTTGTAATGGATGGTTTATGATGACAGATGAATCAACGTAGTATTGGATGGTGGACTTGATTGCTTGAAAATGGTAGAAGAAAGAAATTGAAAGAAACAATTGGTGAGGGCATTAAGATGAGGGCACTATGGTATTTTATGCCAAATACCACACCTAAAATAACCCATTGCCTTAGTTCATCCAAACAAGACATTTTAATTCTCAATTTCTACAAATAACACACAAATACCACTTGTAGAAAAAATGAGTTATTTGGTTTTATAAATACCTCAAAACCAATAAACTCATCCAAACGACCCCATAGTCGTATTTTGCTCTGAATCCGCACCTCATTTGGGTAAAGTAACAAGCAAAATTTTATACACTAAGTGAAATATGCAAATCGTGAAAGTTTGAACCATGAATTTACAGCTCCTCTCACAATTCATAAAGACTGAATTGACCAGCAGACCAATCAAATCAAATCTCTCACAAATGAGGAAAGAAAAAACACAAAAAAGAAAAATATTATTCAAAATGAAAACACCATTTCGAAGGGATTGTTGAAATGTCGCTTAGAAAATGAAATTTTAATGAGACTTGAAAAAAAAAACAAACAGGGCGCCAAAAAAGCGCGAATGACACCCTGGAAAGCGATTGCGTGAATGATTTATAGGAGATAGGTTTCATCATATGCCCCTCATTATTGCGATTCCTTCACAAGAGAAGAGGTGCCAATTTTATTCTCCCTAGCTATTGAAGAAAGTTGCGAGCCTTTTGATCAAAGCCCCAGCTTTCTCACTCTCCAACTCGTACAAGTGGAAGCCATGACCTTTGCCTTCAATCTCATGGATCTCCACAACTCCCATCCATCCACACTTCCTTAGTGTGTCATAATAAAGCCATCCTCTGTCCTTCAACACATCTTTCTCCCCCACACAAACCAGAACCCTCTTGCAACCCAGACCCACCAGGCCCGGCCCATCAGGAGCTACCGGGTTGATCCGCGGGTCATCGTTGTCCGGGCTCGACGGAGAGATAAAGGGCCACACACGGCTCGCCACGGCCTTCGCCATCGCATCCGGAAAGTCGAGCTCGGATCCAATGGGCTCAGTCCCCCAAAAGAATGGCTGCACCAAAGCAAGCCCCAGAAGCCCAAACTCCAGCTTCCCAACAGCCAAGTTGTGGACGATATTACCCCCAGCGCTGTCACCTGCCAAGAAAGCCCGGTCGAAATCAGCGTGATCGTTTAACCATGGTTCGGGCCCATTTCCGGCCCGATGAGAAGCGGCCCAACGAAGCGCGGCCCGGGAATCCTCGTAGGCCGCTGGGATCGGGTGCTCGGGGGCTAGCCTGTAGTCGAAGGAAACGACCACGGCTTGGGCTTCGGCGGCCATGCGGTACACGTAGCGGTGGTACTTGGCGCAGAAGGCGGAGGCGACGCAGAAGCCACCGCCGTGGAAGTAGATCACCAGTGGCAGTTTCCGGTTTCCAGCGGGTTGAGGGAGGTAGAGGCGGGCGGAGAGGTTGAGTTCGGGGAGGTAGACGACGTCCTTGGTGGAGACTCCGCCGGGGCCGGCGTCGATGGAGGGAGGGACGACGTCGGTGTCGCGGAGGCGCTCCACGGTGCCATCGTCGTAGATGCGGATGTGGCCGGGGATTTCCTTGGCCAGTTTCCGTTCGTCCGTACTGGAGGAAGACATTTTTTGAGGGAGGGGGTTGTGAATTGAGAAGCCGATTAACTAAGGTAGCAAGCAAGTAGATGGCTCACTCTCTCTTGGTAAGCTGCCATTGATATACTACTGTGGTCTGATTCACGAGTTCGTATATTTAATAATATGTGTTGTTGTTGAGTTGGTCAGCATCACAGAGGAATATATATTTCAATTCTTGACCCACTGCCTGCTTTTATTAAAGGATTTAATTTGATTGATTAAAGTCTGGGGTTCGGTCCAACAGCAAATTAATTAAGGTTTAAATAAGTTGAACGAAAGCAGACTGGAGGTGTGGAACACTAATTAATCAGTGGGGCATGGTTTGGTTAGGAAAGCACGAAACAATGTATCTTCTTCTCAAGGATTATATATATATTACGAGAGATGAAGAAGCAAGCCAAGACTTGAAATTAATTAAGGAGTCCATTCCAATAACCAACCGGTCACAGTATTAATTTAGCATTATCAGCCGATCCTGCTATGATTATCTTTTGGTATAGGCTAGAGAGAGAGAGAGAGAGAGAGAGAGAGAGATCGTTAAGAGTGGTGCAATGTCAATGTACTTTACAAATAAATAAAAAACTAAAAAGAGTGACAAGCTTCCCAGCTTTCTAGACAACATTTTCTTATATAAAAGTCTTGGTTAAGCATCTACTATTTATTAAGAGGTTCTTGTTCATTTTACCAAAATTGAAGGCCAATCTTTCAAGAGTGACATATGGCAACCTTTCAAAGAGACACATGTCAACTTTTTATTTTTCAACTTATGTTCTCCATTTTTCATTTCTTTTCCTATTTCTTATATATTTATTTGTTCTTCTTGAATCGATTTGTTGTTTGTATTAGATTTTGTATGTTTACTCAACACTAAGTCGAGACATGCTTTTGTATTTGATTGTGCATTTTTATCATCTCTCCCGCTCGAGGTCGTATATGATCTTAACGATGAATTAGATGCGTAATCTGTTGGTAAATTCTCTAATTAATAGTTTTCAAACTCCAAATCAAACAAATACTTCTTCATCAATAATGTGTACATCCTCCTCCTCTAATCCAAGTAGACACCTGTTTATCTCATTTTCTCTTTTCCGTTTCTTTTAATCACTTATGGCCTATAAAAATCTGTTAACAATCCTCTTTTTTATTTCTTTTATTTTTAACTTGGGTTTTTGCTATTCTTAAATTAACATCTTTGTTCCTATTTGACTCATATTCCATGATGTGTTTTTCATTTTTGAATTCTTACTTATTGGCATTTTTCGTAGTTTTTTACCATTCAACTAAAAGTAGACCGATCACGAGTATTTGAATCACGTGTATATCGATGAAGCATTTTTATTTACGAATTCTTATAAATTGACCTTTGTGAGTATTTCGGCTATTCAACAAGAGGTCATCTAATCACGCCTATTTCAATCACGTGCATTTCGACGATACATTTTCCATTTTTGAATCCTTATCTATAGAACAAGTGAACCACATTAATTAATGGAAAAATACACACGGATAGCCATAACTTTGCACTTTGTGACAATAATAGCCAAGTTTTGAAAAATACACTAAAATAGTCATTCCGTCCATAACTTTAACAGCATGGTAATAGATGATGACTAGACTAACGTCATTTGATGATGTGGCGACTTTTCTTGTTGACTTTGCCAAGTTGGAAATATCTCATTTTTATTATAATTAACTGGAAAAAAATTAGTGAAAATGGACCTTCCTTAATCCCTCGCATCCCCTGCCGCTTACCTTCCTTCTTCCCCCCCCCCCCCCCGCCCCCCGTCGCTTTACCTTCTTCCATCACTACCATGACCAACAAACAATCCAAAGTAAACGGTAAAACCCACCTCCCATCGTCTCCTTCATCTTCTGCCCATTCTCTCACTAGTCTTCCCAATTAGTCAAGCAACCCTCCAGAATTCACTACTCTTCTGCCTATTCTCCTTCATCTTCTGACTTTTTATCATCGCTACACCCAATCCATATACCCTTCAACAGATCTGACAGCGGAGGAGAGGATCCAAATTATACAAAAAAACAGAGGAGAAACGAAAGAAAAAGAAGCCCCCAAATTAACCTCACCACGACAAAGCAATCGGGGAGAAGTTCTGCCTTGCGCTACTCCACCAACCACCACTCAACACTTTTTTTCAAATCCGAAGCCGCCGACTCATCCTCCCCTACACTGGCAGAGTCGGACGAAAAAGAATCCCCCACCATTGTCGTCGTTGCTGAAGAAGCCGAAAACCCGCAATGGCTGAATCTGTGAAGTTTCAGCCACTTCGTCTGGCAAATAACCCTGCAATATGAGACAGAATCTGGACCGCCCAAAAACTATCCCTCGCCTCGGGATCCAGATCCTCCCATCGACTGCAATGTCGCGACTACGCTTCACCACTGGCCGCCTCCTTTATGGATTAAATCCCCCCAATTTCAGGTCCCCTTCCGAGAAGGTCCACAGCGGCGCCGTCCAGACGTAGTCGTCACAGCCGTTATCACCGCCGACGATGGGGGAGTTCGGCGCTACGAGTAGTGGTGAGGGTTCCTTCCCTCCTTTGTCTGCTTCTTGGATTTCCCATAGATGAAAACAATTTCATAAATGGGGATTCCTCGATTAACCCAGGGGAGAGGAAAGATGAAAGAAGAATGGAGGAGAAAAAACCAAAATTTAAATGATTTTGAAAATAATAATTTAACTAAGGTGACGTGGCTTGTAATTGGTGACTCATATTTGACATGGAGGTCACTTTTGATGACACGTACGTCCACATCAGCAAAGAGTTAACGGTATTAAAACTTCTAACGGAAATGGCTAAAGTTGTCAAAATAGTTTTAGAAAAGTGGCTATATCAGTGTATTTTTCAAAATTTGGCTATTATTGTCACAACGCGAATAGTTATGGCTATGAAAATGTATTTTGCCTTAATTAATTGATTTGAACTAGAAGTTCGTATCTGGTTTGGACCCATTATTTATCTCTTTAACGATTTGCTAGATTCAAGGATGGCCATACAGTGAGATAACGGAGTCGCTACAATAGTACTCATTAAAGAACAAGAGAACCACATTAATGATTTCCAAAATGTTTTGTTGTTCCCCAATCGGTACCTATATTGGCCAATGAGTCCATTTTGTATTGTTTGCTTCACCTTATTGCAAAATGTAATCCCTCAAATCTTATTTAGCTGCTTAGATGTTTATATTCATCAAATGAGAGCTAGGCCTGCATTTTTTTGGGTTTGTATTCTTTACGTATTAGTAAATTCACTCTTACAATTACATGTAACCTTTCACATTACTCACTTTGCACGAAGCGGAGCAGCGGAAATATCTAGTTCTATTATAAAAAGAATGGTTTTGCTTCTACTATTCATTAAGCGGTATTTTGGTAATAACTCTCAATTCTAAGGACAAAGGTTCATCATCCGGGTCTCACCCTAATATTTTCCCTCTTCCTCCTCTCTACTACCATCCTATAAAAATTCTATTATAAAAAGGATGATTTTGCTTCTACTATTCATTAAGCGGTGTTTTGGTGATTTTTCCCGATTCTAAGGGCAAAGGTTCATTGTGTGGGACCCACCCAAATATTTTCCCTCTTCTTCCTCTCTACTACCATCCTATGAAAATAAAAGGAAACGCAAATAAAGAAATGTTAAGTGGGTCCACACTTTTCCAAAAAAAAATTTAATTATAGAATGTGGATGGTTTTGTATGCTCAAATTGCTTTATTTGTGTTCGTATTTGGTTTTGCGTTTTAGTCATCTCGATTGTGTTCAATCTCACTCATCTATTTGTTCGTATTTGGTTTTGCAACTTTACTCTTTAGACATCTCCCTCGAGCTCGAGGTCAAATAGAAAAATGACGGATAAATATTCTAATATGTGCTATCAGTCATTATGCATGATCGATTTGTTCGTATTTGATTTTATGTCTTTAGTCATCTCTCTCGAGCTTGAGGTCAAATAGAAAAATGATGGATAAATCTTCTAATATGGGTTATCGGTCATTATGCATATTTTTATTTGGATTCGGTTTTGCATTCTTACTCGCCTCTTTCACACTCTATCGTTTTAAGCACGTCCTCCAATTTATAAATTTATTAATTACTACGAACCCCTCCTTCAAAATCTTAGTGACTCTTTTTCCATTTTAAATGTGTGAACTTCGTAAATATTCTAACAGTTGTCCAACTCCAAGTATGTAGAGCGACGTCCTTTAATTATAAATTTATTGGACAACGAGTGCATATTACTACGAACCTCTCCCTCAAAATCTTAGTGATTTTACTACGAACTCCATTTTACTATTTTTTTTTTATAACGACATACTTATCGTTCTATCTTGAACTCACCGTGAAGCGCAAGCGAGTGGGAATATCTAGTATATATTAATTGGGGGATTAATCTACCTAATCGTGGTTAGCATTAGTTTACCCACCTTTGGCTGCTGTTGCTCTTAGTCTACATCCACTTCCATGAGTGTTGTTTGACTAGGGAATTTATTAATCTTATTGTTGCAAATAAGTCAAATCTCCCATATGTTAGGAGTGCCGTTTTCTATTATAATTTGGCCAACCCTAAAGGTCAAACGACATCATTATTATTGTTCCATCTCCCTTAGTTGAAAACTAATGGTCAAAAGAGAGCTAATTTGTTTACTCTTTTGCAAGAAACACAGCAACAATTGATAAGTGTGTGGACTTTGGATGAATAGTATAAGATACTCTTTTCTTGTGATTCTATCTAACTAATTTGGGGTAAATTGCAAGGGTGGTCACTAAAATATTGAAAACGTTCATGTTTAGTCACTAAAAATATTTAATTTCATTCGTAGACACTAGATTTAGTAAAACAGTCCAAGTTTGGTCACTTTCTGTTAATCCTCGTCCATCTTTGTTAATGGAGACCGTTATGTGCTTACATGACAGACGAAATTGTCTAGTTCAAATAAAATCAAATGATTACGAGGAACATAGATCCAAATTAAAGAACCAGGTGTCTTACTCCTATCTCCCTTTCTATCCGATCAATTGATTGAGCAAGATTAAACTCACTTTGTTACTCTAACAAACAATAACTTCACAACAACGAATCTGGGGGAGAAGTGACAAGTAATTTTACAATGCTATAGGTTTTTACCTTTATGGTACAACTTGAAATTGTACCTTTAATGTTATGGTACAACTTCAGATTGTACCTATACTTTTTGTACAAATTCTTTTATGGTACAATTTAAACTTGTACCTTATGTGATGGTACAACTTCAAGTTGTAAAGTTGTACCATAACATAATGATAAAAATTCATTTATGGTACAACCTAAACTTATACATTTAATGTTATGATACAACTTCAAGTTGTACATTTTTTTCCCCTCAAAAGTAGGGGTAATAAGAGAGTCACATAGAGGAGTCAAGTAAAGCGCGGGAGTCGACCAATAGTCGAACTCCCGATGAGATGGCTTTATGTGCCACAAGATGGGCGTCCCTATTAAGTCGACGAGAAACAAAACAAAATGAAATCCAACTGAATTGGGCAGCTAGGACCCGAGCATCTTCAAGCACAGCACTACTTCGATCATGAGCGAAATCCTCCCCCACTATACGCCGTATCAGTTGTTGCGAATCCCCATGAAATTGGACACACACAAAACCATGAGTCAAACACCATTGTAGAGCATCCCGTAAAGCCAAACTTTCCATAACAAAAGGATCATGTAACCCTTCGTAGTATTTCCCAAAAGCAAATAGGACATTACCTGTAGGTTGAAAACCAACGAAGCCAATGCTACCACCTCGTCCATGCTTAGTTGCACCATCAAACCAAACGGTGATTGCGGTGGAGGGCAGTCCCGCCGATATTTGGTCGCCGTTGCCCGGTCTACACCCTGTTCCAGGGCCTTGTCTGGGGATGGTTGGCGCCACCAGTTCAGCTCCCCGCCATTCTTCTAGCTGCCTCTGAAACTGACGAAACAAAGGCAATGGCAAATATTGAATGTGAGCATATATAGACCAACACCTAACTTTCCAAATCCTCCATAAAATAAAAATCACATCTGCAATTTCAGTTTTAGAAAAGTTCATGGAAAAAAACAGATGATTCAAAGCATCATCAGGGGCCATTCCACCGAGGTGACTGCACAAGTCTTCTCAGTTTGCCAGGCTCCATAAACCCCGCGCCACCCTGCAACCAAAGAAGAAATGGGAAAAAGATTCTGGTTCCTCCAAACAGATGGGACATTTCGTGGTTGGAACCAGAGTTTTGATGAACAAGACTGTTTGAAGCGGAAGAAAGCCACGGACAGCCCGTCAGAAGAAGAATCTCAACTTTGGCGGCACCGGCAAGCTCCAAAGAAGCTTCCAAAACTGCGATTCAAAAGGGAGCAGGGGCGGTGGGTGGGCCAAGTTATACTCGTTTGACAGTAGATGGTAACCTGTCTTTACAGTATAAACTCCAAAAGAAGAGTAATGTCAAATCACTCTGTCTATAGTATAAGATACAGGAAGAGGAATGGTCAAAATAAGATCCACACTCACAGACATGAAAAGAGAGTTCAGGAGATTTGTCTTCCACGAATGGGATGTATGGCAAATGAGCTAGGAGACTAGAGAAGGGCAGGATTGCATACCTGGTCGTAGTTGAGGGCATGATGGGGGATATGAAGGCAGCCAATTGTCTTGCATAACCCGGATTTGTGTCCCGTCTCCAACCTGCCACCGCAAACCACGCTTGAGTAGATCCCTCCCTTCCAAAATACCCTGTCAAGCCCAGGATGGGCGAGCACCCGCCGAAGCATCAAGAAAGTCATGTAGCGGGTGATAGCGAGCCTTATAGATACGGGCGATGGTACTGGAAGGTCTGAATAATACTCGCCAAGCTTGTTTAGCTAGAAGCGCAATGTTAAACCTGTTAAAATCTCGAAAGCCAAGCCCACCTGTAAACTTGCTTTGACAGATTGCACTCCGAGAAATCCAATGTATGCCTTTCTCCTTATCCTGGCCAGCCCACCAGTACTTTTACAGCTGGCCATTGCATCTACGACAAGTTTCCTGTGGCAGACGGAAAGCCGACATGGCATAAATTGGACCAGCAACCCCAATCGCCTTGATAACAACCTCCTTCGCCGCCTGAGATAAGGCCTTTGACTTCCAACTGCTAATTCAGGCCGCCAAATCTTCCTCAATGAATTGGAAAGATAGGGATTTAGAGCGGCGGATTTGAGAAGGAAGTCCCAAATACCTGTCCTCAGGCTGCATAATTCCCACCCCTAAAAAGGAGCTAATTGCATGGAGCTTCTGGTCTGAGACATTGCCACTAACACACACAGCTGATTTATGCAGATTAACCCGTTGACCACTATACATCTCATAATCGGATAGTAATTGCATCAGGTTCGCACATTCAGGAATAGAAGCTCTTAGAAACAGGTAAGAATCATCGGCGAAAAACAAATGTGAGAGGGGAGGAGCTGACCTGTGAACTCTTAACTCATGAAGGGAGGAGGAGGCGATCTCTCGGCTGATCTTGGCAGAAAAGGCTTCCGTGTAAATGGCGAACAGCAGAGGTGATAACGGATCCCCTTGGCGAATCCCCCTCTGAGGTTGAAAGTAACCATACTGAGCTCCATTTAGTAGAACTGAAAAATGGACCGTTGATACACAGGCTCTGATCCATAGCATCCACTTCTCACAGAATCCAATCGATTGCATAACCTGGAAAAGAAACTCCCATTCCACTCGATCATACGCCTTTTCCATGTCGAGCTTTAATGCCATCCATTTGTCTTGTCCCCGGATCTTGGTCTTGAGAAATTGCATCACTTCCTGGCCAATAAGAATGTTATCAGAGACGCATCGCCCCTTAACAAAACCATTTTGAAACGGACTAATGATTTGAGGAAGAATGGAACTGAGCCTTGATGCTAAGATTTTGGCGATAATTTTATATAAAACCTGGCATAACCCAATAGGCCGCATTTGGCGCATGGAATCAGCATTGGCAACTTTCGGAATGAGGGTCAGCAGTGTGTGGTTCACACTATGGAGCAGCCGGCGTGTTTGGAAGAATGATAATATGGCCTCAGATACATCCCAACCTATCTATTCCCAGAATCTTTGATAGAATGCAGCAGTAAAGCGGTCAGATCTGGGAGCTTGGCCTTTCCCAATATTAAAAATTGCCATTCTGATTTCCGATCTAGATACCTGCATAGTAAGCTGATCATTCATTGGCCCTGTCACCTTGAGAGGAAGATTCAAACTTTATATAAAATTTGTGGGGTTCAAACCATTTGAGGAAAATAACAATTCAAAGTATGATACTGAGACTTCCCCTTTAGCTGATTCGGCAGTTTGGAGTTCCCCTTGCGCATCATGAATGCCAGGGATGAAGTTCTGTCGTCTTTTCCGCATTGTGGTCAAGTGAAAGAAATGAGTGTTGGCATCACCACCATGGAGCCAGTAGACTCGCGATTTCTGCTTCCAATATAGCTCCTCCTGTTTGTAGGCATCGGCAAGCTGCCTTTCTAAGTTATTGATAATTGACCAGTCAACTGCAGTCTGCAGCAGCCTCCCTTTCAACATCAATAGCCCCTCGCAGTTCTCGGATTTGACGGGCTGAGTTTGTCGTACCTGCCTTGGCCCATCCAAGCAGCTCCTATCGAACATGCTTCAGTCGAGTTTGCACTTGGAAAAGAGGTGTGCCGCCAGCAAGTTGCTGCCATGCCGAGTGGACTAGAGGGGGTACATCCGGGTTGTAATCCCATCGTCGGTCGTAGTGAAATCTTCGAGCTCGGTGGTCCTCCATTTTCACTAATCTCAACAGAAGCATCATGTGATCAGACCCCCTATCAGACAGATGGTGTACCTGCACATCAGGCCATAAAAGCAAGTACATGATTATTCCCCAAACACCGATCCAACCGAGGTTGGATATGATCATCATTCGATTGCCGGTTAGTCCATGTAAACCGAGGTCCAATGTACCCCAAATCATGAAGCCCTGCCGCCCCCAAGAAGAGGTTGAGTTGAGCAAGGGCTGCCGGAGAAGGGGTTCTACCTCCTTGCTTTTTACTACTAGAAAGAAGACAGTTAAAATCACCCACCACAAATGCAGGGTCCTCATACAAGGAAACCAGATATGAAATTTCATTCAATTGATACTGGCGGAGGCCTTCCTCGCAGCTTAAGTGTATAAAGACTACACCAAATCTGCCAAAAGAAGGGTGCTCGCATTTGACAAATAAAAACCCAAAAGACTCTACTGAAACTGTACAAACCAGACTAGAAGACCAGGCAACAACTAAGCTACTACCATTATTGGACACACTATGTACACGCTCCGCAGGGAAGCCTAGACTACCAAACTGCTGAATCACAAACTCATCATCCCTCCTGGTCTCACTAAAACACACAAGCAGCGGAGATTCCCGGAGTAAGGTCTCCTTCAGGACCGGAACTGTCAGGGGCGCTCCCAATCCCATGCAATTCCAGGCGAGTATGCTCATGTACCGGACTGGGACCGATCAGGGCCGGTTGCCTCCACCTCCAGATTCTCGTTGGAACTTGCCTTGTTGCCTTTTGGACCAAGTCGGGCTCATGCTGCTCAGCCATTCTCTCATCTTGCTGCTGAGTATTCACCAATGGAATGGTTGGCAGGCCATCTGGAGGAGCAGAGATGCAGAGCTGCCCCAAGTGAGATGCCATTCCCAGGTGGAGTTTGGAGGGTTGGTGACCCCTATCAAGAACTACACCAGGTTGTGCTCGCCTACCGGACGAAGCAGCCACCATCTGATTCCCAGAGCGATTTCCGGCCAGCGTCCACACAAACGGCCGCCTTCTACCAGCCAGTGTGTTTTCATTCACTCTGGGACCAAACTCCTGCGCCACCATATGCTTTCCATATCTTGGCGGTTGTCCATCCAGTTCATCCTTCCTCGAACAATTCCTATTCACATGACCAATCACTCCGCAAAGAAAACAGAATTGGGGAAGAGACTCAAACTTCACCTTGGCTTTGAAACACCCTTTCGATGGGTCCTCGTGAGCGGCAGAAATCTCATCCGGAAGGGGGAGTTGAAGATCCAGAGTGATCTTCGTCCTGAAGTACAGCCCCCGGAAGAAACTGAGCGGTGGATTGTGGCCGCCTCTGCAGGTCCCATAGCAGCCCCAAGTAAGGAACCTAGCCTCTCGGTGCAGCAGTGATAGGGCACTCCCCAGATTTGGGCGATAAGAGGTACTCTGATGAGATCAGCAGCCAACTCCGCCGTTGGTGTTTCCCATTTCCTGACCTGGATGAGGAACTTCTCAAACACCCATGGCATCACAGCCAGAATCCGACGAGCAGTCGCCGAATCAGGAAGCACGAACTGAAGGAGATCCCATTCCACAACCGCCATCGTGAAATCGCATTTCCAGACCCTCCCAATAATCGTCTGCAGTGTCGGTAGAGAAGGGAGCGGCCCACAGAGTCGACCAATCAGAGTTTGGTCAATCCGCTGGGCACCCACTGCAACATCTGCATCATTGAACTGAATCGCCGCCATGGAAACGGATCGAAAGAATCGCAATTGGACTCCTACAACAGGGGGAAAAGGATTGCCAGGGAAGATGAGAAGTGAAGCTCCAAACGCAAGGTGCTGAGCACCCCCTTTTATCACAATTCCGGCGAGGGAGTACCGGAACCGGCGGGGGGCGATGGCGAAAACTTCTCGTTCCATGGGCGCACGAAGGCGAAAAGCCCACCCACTCGCCCAACGTGGGAGAGAGGGGGGAGGATTGCTTTGCTTCTTTTTTTTTTTTCTCTGTTAAAGATTTGATCTAACTTCAAGTTGTACATTAAAACACCAATATATAGCATGCTCGAGAAGTGACACGTTTTAAATTTTACTAAAATACACAAATTTCACTGACTTTCTTATTGACTAAAAAAAATGGCATGCTTCACAACTTTAGAAAGGAAACCACCTTCTACATTGTGCCCAACTACGGTTGATTACCAAGGAAGTGAAGGCATCTCTCTATTAAAGAAAGCCGCCAACCTTTTGATCAAAGCCTCAGCATTTTCACTCTCCAAATCATACAAGTGGAAGCCATGGCCTTCACCTTCAGTCTCACCAATCTCCACAACTCCCATCCACCCACTCCTCCCCACTGCCTCATAATAAAGCCACCCTCTGTCCTTGAGCAAATCCTTCTCAGCCACATAAACCAGCACCCTCTTGCAGCCCAAGCCCACCAAACTCGGCCCATCTGGAGTCATCGGGTTCACTCGTGGGTCATCGTTATCCGGGCTTGACGGACAAATAAACGGCCACAACCTCTCCGTCGCTGCTTTTGCATCCGGTTGTGGATAAATGGGCTCGGACCCAATCGGCGTAGACCCCCAAAAGTATGGATGCACCAATGCAACCCCGAGAAGGCTCATTTGAAGCCCGAAATCCGGATTCCCAGCTGCCATCGCCAAGTTGTGGACGATGTTTCCTCCAGCACTCTCGCCGGCTAAGAAAACACGGTTGAAATCTGCGTGGTCGTTTAGCCAAGGCTCGGGCCCGTTTCCGGCCCGATGCGAGGCGGCCCAATGGAGCCCGGCCCAGGAGTCCTCGTACGCGGCTGGGATTGGATGCTCGGGGGCTTTCCTGTAGTCAAACGAAACGACGACGGCTTGGGCTTCGGCGGCGAGGCGGGACACGTAGCGGTGGTACTTGCCGCAGAAGGGGGAGGCGATGCAGAAGCCGCCGCCGTGGAAGTAGAGTAAGAGAGGCAGTTTCCGGTGGCCAGAGATGGAGGGGAGGTAGAGGCGGGCGGAGAGGTTGAGCTCCGGGAGGAAGACCACGTCCTTGGAGGATACGCCGCCGGCAGCGGAGGGAGGGGCGAAATCGGTATCCCGCAGGCGCTCGACGGTGCCGTCTTTGTAGACGCGAATCATGCCGGGGAACTCCGTCGCTAGTTCTGGTAGGGTGGAATTGGGAGCCATTGTTTTTGGGGCTGAGATAGTTCTTTCTGTGATTAGTTTGGAGATAACGTGGTGTCGTGGTTCCATATAAATGGACGGGTCCGAAAAGGAAATACACATATCATTTCAAACTTTTCAATCTCTCATTCTCTCTTGTTAGCATTAGGTGTCAGGTGCGGATTGAGGAAGGTGGGCTGTGGCTAGGGATAGCAACAACACCCGAACCCACGGGTACCCACCCGATCCAACCTGGTCAACGCAGGTAAAATCCGTGTTGACGGATTTTGGATCGGGTTTTGGTTTAAACCCGCTACACTATTCACTGGGTCGGGTTGGGTTTGAGTTTAGATAACCCGTCCTATGGGTACTCGCCCACACACATATAATTATTTTTTCGGTATATTTAATATTCTAAATAATATATCTTCTTTAAACAACTAATATTCTTTATGTTTATGGAGACATGTATAATTTGTTCTTTCTAATTGTTTAGAATGAAGTTAATATTATGAAGTGGAGAGTCAAGAAACTCAGTTGACGAGGAAGAAACTTTCAATTAATCTTATTGTTTATAGATGTTTATCTTTAATTTTAAACAATTTGTATTGATCATTTGCGGTTTGCTTGTATGCTCTAGATTGGTGTTTTTTGTATGATTAATTTGTATGAGAAAATTAATGTTAAACTTTTATTTTGAAAGAAATTTGTTATTGTAAATTTTTTACCACAAAAACCCACGGGTACCCATGAACCCTCAGATACCCAACGGGTTGGGTTTGGTTTGAGTTTTTCAAACCCAACGGGTTTTACCCCGAGTTATTTTGGCGGATAAACCCATGGATTTGGATTTGAGTTTGACAAAACCCGCCCCAACCCGACCCATTGTCATCCTAGCTGTGGCAGCCAAAGACTGTTATCTTTGCCATGTGACGCATTGTGGAATAAGAAATTTATTGTTTCATTTTACAACTTTTGCTATGAGGTAAATAGGAAAGGAAAAGATACATTGACCTGATAGAACAGCTAATACCAGTTTATTTATGTCATTTTATGCTCACTCGCATCATTTTGTGCTCATTCATGTAATACTATGTTAATTTATGTAAGAGTGTAAATTTTTCACGTAAATGGAAATTCATACTTTTTTCCCTAATAATTTGTATAGACTATATTTTATGGAATTAAATTTGGATTATCATTTAATATGTACAAATATGTTGCATTGATCATAATCTAAAGAATGACATCCATTTTGATATTTTAAATTTTTTTATTTTACAACAGTGTGAATAATTAACAATATGCGTGAATAAATATCAGGTGGCGTGACCTAACAGTACTGATTGCGTGAATAATCAACACTCATACGTGAATAACCCAAAATGAGGTGTTTTGTTTACTTCACTCGATAGGTAATACCAGCGGCCTATGCGAGTGAAATATGCTTTGTTATGGACAGTTAACAGCAGATAATTATGCCCTCTAGAAGAGTTTGTTTGACTATTCTTTAGCACCGTTTGAAATTAATAAATTTATTATAATATTATTTCAATAATATTTTTTTTTTTGGTCATATATTATTTCAATAAAAGTTGAGCAAAAGAATATTGCTGACATTAAATAAGTGAAAATACGAAATGAAAGCTTTCTTTATTAATTTGTATACGGAAAGTGCATGCTAATACAACAAAATTAGCTAATCATAATTTCCGGGGAGAAAAATTAGCTAATCCGAAAGACAAAGGAAAATGTTACAAGGACGAGAAACACATAAACAAGAACATATATTAATTATGGAAGTGAAGGCCACAAGAACTGTAACACACAGATGGTTATGAGATAATGGACAGAATAAGTTACAATTAGAGGATCATCACTTAAAGTCATCATTAACATCTACCACCTCCTCTGCAGCAATAACTTCTTTGATGGCTGAAGTGTATTGCTGGTTTAAGAGGTACAAAAACATTGTACAACATGATTCCAATTTAAACGCGAACTTATCATCTCACCTCATGAGTTTTCTAGGGAGGAATCAAAGCTTGTACATAAGCTTTTTTACTGATTCTAAAATGAATTCACATGCTCCGGCCAGAGTTGATACATAATAATTTTTATTCAAACATATCAAATACTAAATGATAGAAAGTGCAAGAAACCAGAGATAGAAGGTGAGAGTTGGGATGGATACTAACAGGGCTCCCTGCCTCAGTTGTCGCATGAGACTCATAACCATCTTGATGGATTGGATACTAACAAAACTATCTCAACGAAGTAGAATGTTGATGTTCTTAATGAACCCATGTTCAAAAAGATGCATATGTTTGAACTCTGGTTTAATGTGCAATGGATTAAGGACTGAACTATTGATTTCCGATCTAGAATCTGATACATGGGAATAGACACAACAACATGACAAAACAAGAAACTTTACATCCTCTTGTAGCAGTCCATCTTATTCTCAAAACTCTTTCAAAGGTTTTCATGTCCGTTGCGAGCTAGCTGCAAAGACTCTACGGCAGCCTGGCTGATCTGGTGCCTTTCCTCCATAGCCAGGACTCAGATGGAGACTTGGGCAAAGGTGGGAGCAAAACAGCCTTCCTACAGAGACCAAACGGCCACCCCTCGCAACGACAGAGCTCCTGCAAAATAGAAACCCGCCTCTGAAAACTCGGGAATTCCACCTGACTGAAGCTCGAACACCTCGACAACATGTTTGTCTTCACCGACAAGAACTCTTCTCCGCCCCTGCTCGAACTACATGAAAGACAGCTCCCAACTGAGAAGAACTCCTCTTCCTTTCCAACTTCTCCATTCCTCTGCTTCTCAGGGCTAAAGAACAGTTCATCTGAAAAGCTATATGTCATCACAAACACCTTCTGCTTTGACTTCTCCTTCTCCATGGCTCTGCTCCTGATTGCTGACACGACCACCTGAAGAAACCGAAACAATATCATTATTAATCATCATAAACAAATTCCAGCACATTGTTCTGTGTATATACAGGAGCATTGAAGCAGAATTTGAACAAGTGGAAAGTACTTCATGTTCATCATCTTCGAGTTCAGTTGTTGTGTGGGGAACATAATCCTCATCCTGCAGCTGGAGAGGGCTTAAGTGGCCGCCACAAGATCGAGAGATGGAGAAGGCATCTTTGAGAGTAGAAACCAGGAGGAACTTGCATTTCTTTGATGGGTTTTGTGGGGGTGGCTCTTCCTGATAGAACACACCCATTATGGGTTTAGAGAGAGAAATGAAGTCTGACAGAAAAAGCTGAAAACTTTGGTGAGGAAACTGATACCTAACTTGGCTATAAAGAAGAACGGAAGAAAAAGGGAAGAACAACAAGCACCATGGAAAGTGGAGGAAGGTTAAAAGTGTCAATCTTGAGTTGATGTCCAAATTGACCTCAGCTTGATGGTGGCCTTGCAGCTGCTCACCTCAAAGATAGTGCTAAGAGTTCTCTTGTTGTTGGCTTAAGGTTAAAGATACAGTTTTTAAGGGCACAAATTGGAAATTACCCACTTGAGATGAGAACCTCACTTTGAAGATGAAGGCTTCCTTCAGGTTATGGCTGAAAAGGAGATATGACACTAGATCAAATTGCATGTAACTGATTTTCCTTTTTCTTCCACTGCACCCTCCTTTTTGTATTTGTTCATTAATGGAAAGATGAGAACCTCCTTTGAACAATCAATATGGAAAAAGAAACAGGAGAAATAATTGGGACTTGGGAGGGATGGTGCTGGTTCTGATGAATGTGCAAAAGGGGGAAGAAACACTGTTGAGAAATGAAGCTTCATGTTTGATCATGAATTCATGAATCATGATGCTTTAACCCCACAAGATGAAGTCACTTTAGCATGTTGTAGTCATGATGTGGTTACTTTACTCTTCAGCTTTAGCAATAAAGTAGCTGCTACAGCTAGGTGGTCTCCCCCAACCTTTAACCCTTTTCCTCGAAATTCACTGTCATTAGAGTTGTATAATTAGCCATATTTCCCCCCTCCCCCTCCCTCTCACATTGCTTATGTTCCTGGGAAAACTCAACTTCTCAGTTTCATGTATCAAAAGCTGAACTCTTTCTGTGATTCCACCTTGATTGATCTAAAGAAAAATTACCAAGCTCTTATTTGCCAGCACTAGTTGCAAATTTGGAAATGGATAATAAAAGCTTGATTGCGGAAGATATGGTGGTCGGATTTCGGAAGGACCTTCCACTAAATGTTGATTCTTCACGTCTCACTTTAAGGCACTTTAGCTCGATAACCTTAGGCACCCAGAGTTTAGGTTGTGGAAAAGGAACAGAAAGAGATGACTCATAAATCCCACATTTGTTGATGCCTTTACATTTTAACTCCTCTGTTAATTCTCACAGCAGAAGCACCAAGTGTGAGAAAGAGAAAGGGTTTATTAAAGCAGTAAGCCTACTTATGAACCAGCAACAACAACACTTTGAACCCTACAGGATGTGAAGATACAATAATTAGAGATTAAGATTGAAAGGAGTAAGGCTCATTGGGTTCATAGATGGTTAAGGTGCAGTTCGTTGAGATAAAAATCTTGCCAGAACACAAATAATAATGAGATAGAAAGACCATAACAATAGATATCCGTGTTTCCACAGCCAAACAACATATTCTTGTCATAATCATAATCCATATGTACAAGCCATCAGCCAAACATGAAACAACTAGGATTCTAGGACAACATTAAACACCAAGAATAACAAACATGTACATTGTAGTGGACAGGCAACATGCAACAATCATTGAGATTGCATACGTACCAAAGGCCCTAAGCATACCGATAGAAGTTTTCAAATCTCCAACAAGGCGATTTATGAAGTTGCTTGGAGAGAAATGAGGGACTGAAGCTTGGCAACAACATATGTCTTCTCTTGAGGACACTTGGAGTGAGAGATAGTCCACGAATGAAGAGCATCATCAATCTTCCCTGCAAGCAAAGGCTTCACAACCAGCCTTATAAACCTCATCTGCGACACAGGCATCATATTGTGAAGCTGCAACAATCGGCGGCTGATTAAAGCCGTTACTGCAATTCAAGTTGTGCGGCTACAGAGTCGAGTCGAGCAGTCGACCTCAGTCATAAGTGCTTCTAGGCCAGATGAGAATGTTTGATGCTTTGATCCTATCAAACGCGCTGCAAGGTTGCTCAGACCTTCCTTCTCCACAACCCATTTCCCCTTTTAGAAATGATTTTGGCAGATTTGGATCAGCTAGAACAAAGAACAAAGCTTTCCACCACCCCACTTTTAGGGAACTTGAAATCCACCTTCAAAAGCTTGAAAAGACTCCAACTTTAATCTTCCCCTGATAGAGACTGAGCCCTATTTGCAATATCCCCAACCCCAAACACCATTGGCCGACCCTTTTTTCAAGAAATCATGTCACATAAACTTTCCAAGTAAAAAAAAAAAGCTTTCTTGTTGAAATTTTGTTGGAACAAATGGAACATTGAACTCTCAACCGATTCACATCAAACCTACAGATACACATCGTTCTAAGACATTTGAACAACTAAGTTACACAATGCATTGTACTCAACTCATATTCTAACACATGGGAGCCTAATTCCCATGCCAATCAACAACCAGACCTCACAAGACCTTAGACCCACAAGTTACTTATAGCCTACCAACTGCCATATTCAGCTTTGAGTCCGGTGTCAATCGACAACCGAATTCCCAGACTACAGTGCTCGCAAGGTACAACAACCGACCCCAGGCACTTGAATCCGAAAGAAAGGTCGCAGTCGTCGTCGTCGTAATCGGGGGAGGAGGAGGTGTACTCCTTGGCCGGCTCCTCCGGCGACTGAAACCACACATGGTCACTATCCTTGCACAGTTTGTACCCCAACTTCTGCAGTTCCACAGAATCCACCGAGAAATAATCCCCACAGTCACACTGGTGAATAAGTTCTATGGTTTCCCCTCTTTCCTCGTCCACAAAAGGCACCATGCCTAAGAGACAGACATCTTCAATCACTCTGGCATTTCGCCGCCGCCTCGCCGTCCGGAGCTCCTTGTCGTACTCTGCTCGCCACTGGGTGTCGCTCAGTACTTGAAATGCTCTCTGGACTCGGAGAGATTTCTCGTCATCTGCGACGATGGCGGAGTCCGTGGGGTTGTTCGACGTCGCTGATAGGTAAGCGGCACAGATTTCTTGGTAGGTCGCGGATGGTTTCACGGAGAGGATCTGGTAATGGGTTTCCTGCTTGACGGGTCTCTTGCCGCGAGGCCGCTTGACGGAGGTCTTCTTGCGGGGAGGCATAGAGGGATAGAAATGCTCTGATTGATTAAAAGCAAGAAAACCACCGGAAGGCGGAAGAAGTAGTTTGAGCAGCAAGTGGGAAGGGAAGAGGGGATAGGGTTCTTTTTGCTTTGAGGAAATGCAAATTTGCAAGAGTTCCTTTTAGTCTTTTTGTGTAGTTCTCAATTTCAAAAAATTTCATGTTTTCCCTCTCAATTCTCATGTCGCTCCCGCTCTAAGAATTTGATAAGCGACAACCTTTATCCTTCCTTATCTCTACAGTGAAGTGTACAGTCTCACGTAACACCGAGCCCAGAAAAGGAATGCTGAAGCTTGTTTGATAATTTTTTTGTTACAATCCATAGATAACCAACTACTAGTACTTGGTGACTTTCCATCAATTCCAGAAAAGGAATTGCCTTAACGGCCTCACCATTCTTTCTTCTTCACAGAAATAGCATCAAGTAAACCCACTTTGCTGTCTCTGCTTCCTCCACTTCGTCACAGCCGCAGCCTCAAGCTAGACATTTGGCATCCCTGCAAATGGGACTTTGAGCCCCGTTTCAATCGACAACCGAACTCGGAGAGAACAAGACCCGCAAGGTACAACAACCGACGCCGCGGACCTCGATGCACCTTCGTCGTCCTCAAACCACACATAGTCCCGATCCCTCGACAATTTGTATCCCATCCTCTCCAAGTCCGAAGAATCCACCGAGAAGCAATCCCCACACCGGCAATCATAGCAAAGCTCCACCACCACGTCGTCTCCTCCTCTTTCCTCAACAACCACGACCCCTACATCCGTCAAATCGATGTCCCCAGAAACGCTGGCGTTCTGCTGCCGTCTCGACGCCCGGAGCTCGTTGTCGTACGCCACTCGCGACCGGGAGTCGCTCAGGATTTCCCACGCTTTCTGGACTCTGAGGAACTTGTCGTCGGCGGCCGCGGAAGAATCCGAGGTCTTGTGCGCTTTGTCCGGGTGGGAGTTGAGGATTGCGGATCGGTAGCCGCTTCGGATTTCTTCGTAGCTCGCACCTTCTTTTACGGAGAGGATCTCGTAATGGCTTTCCCTCTGGACGGAGCCATCGCCGAGAATCATCGCCAGAAAACCCAATGTCCAATTCGACAGACGGCAAGGAAACCAACTAGATTTCTCGAAAACTCTCGGGTTTTTTTCCTCACGGAAGTCCGGCAGCTTGCCGAAGCGAAGAAATCAGAGGAAAGATGGCAGTTCTCCGTCCGACTGGCTATCCGCGGCGATGCGACTCTTATTTTAGGGTTCTCAGTTTGGTTGATTTGTAATTTTGGGATTATGTGGGGATGGGAGCAGTGGGTTGGGCCCTGACTTGAGAGGGTTCATTGTCCAGCTGATCAGTCCGGCCTGGTGGGATGGGGAGAAAATTACGCGTATAATCACCAAACTTTGCAATGAATCGTACTTGGGTCACTAAATTTCACTTAGGTGTGTTGGTGTATTGGTGTTAGAAGATTAGAATTGATGTCTAGAAATACATGTTTTAGCGATTCAAATTCAATGCATGATTCATCCATATGCAATGCTACCATCTAGCAAGTGAGTGACTCACCTTAGTGACTTGATAAGGCGGATTTGACGTAACATAGAACAGGATTAAAATTTAACAGGAAGTGCTAAGTCGCAGAAGATTTTATTTTATGGCTCTAAGGGTTCTAAGTTCTAACAGCAAACAAATTGGGTTCGAAATGGAAAATTTCATAACTTGAGGGACTCAAACAAAACTTAATTGTGACTACTGACGACTGAATGAAACAAACATTTGTATATGAATCTAAACGGATAATTGTTACCAGAGCAAGAAACTTGGTTATGCTACACTGACGATTCTCAACACTTCTATGAAACAAAACGACTATTTGTTCATTCCTTTCTAATGGGAAAACAGATGCACCTGGAATTCAATTCTCGGGCTACTTTTATACTTACCAGAGGCTGAAGAAAATAGAGGACGAAAGCTATTTTACAGTGCTGACGAATTCACCATATTTCAAATCAATCGTCATTTTCATCCCATCCCCCCAACTTACAACTCCAATCTAACTCTATTCGTGTCTAAACCCGTGTTATGTTCCGGACTGGTGCAGAGATAGTTTTCCAAGTTTTCAGATTCTCTGTGCTAATAGATACAGCCCTGCGTTCTCCACTCTAAAAATTGATTCTGATAATCCACCTGGAAAACACCCTTCTCTTTTCTTTACCCCATGCAAAACTAGAAAGGGCTTAAAAATGATTTCAAAGGAAAAGGGAAGACTGAGAAAAGAACAAAAAATCGTAAAAAAAAGTCCTATGAAGTCACCATTTAGTGCCCAGCTTCACACCTTTGTCAAAGCCTTCTGTGTATGGTAAGCGACACGCCCGATCGGGTTCGGAATAAAGATCTGCTATCTGACGACCCCTGCAGCCCAGGGGACGACCACTGGAGCATTGGGGTGGGAATTTCTGTAAGCTTCGGAGTACCTGTCCTTGAAGTTCAGTTTGGGTTTCTCTGCCTGCAGATCAAAGGGAGGGCACAAGGATCAGAGTTCAGGAGCAGGGTCAGAATTCTGATTAGATCACTGTAAAGAACTTCATTAGATGCCTCACGTATTTGAGCCAGCACTCCATATTCTTGTGTTCGTAAATATCAGGTGAGTAGCAACCATTCTCAGCTGGGCAGTAGACCCATATGTTGCACTGCACTTCGCCCGGTTTTGCACGTTTTGCGTGGTCCAAGCATGCTTGACAGCATTCAGCAGCACTTTCTTTATGATGGGTAAGCCCCCATCTGACAGCCACTCCGTCATAATCTGTATGGAGCTCGGCGTGGCATTCTTGTGGAACAGGTGGCCCAGGCAAATTTTCTTCTTCTGCAGAGCAGCACACATGTATCAGCCCGTAGGTTACAAACTTCAAACTTCCAAATGAAATGTTACAAGAATGCTGATTTTCATAAGAACTGTAGTTCTATTCGCAACGAAATAACTCCCCGACAGGCTGTGAAGTCTAAGACTCCATAGAAGTCGTTTCATGTTGAACATAAACCACATGCATGGAAAAATAAAAAATGTGAATCACAAATGTGTGATTTGCCTACCTTGCTCCTCTTGACCCTCTGGTCTATCATCATGCTCCGAGTTAGTGACTTCAGCAGGAATCCAAAGGCCTATGTTCTCTGAGAGCACTGCCCAATCAGATTCCAGGGCTCTTAATAGCGTTCCTATAGAACAGGCAGGTAAATAAGTAAGCAAAATGGTTCCCTAAAACAAAGAACACTTCCCATGCATCATGTAGATTCACAAAGGTGATTGTTTGGGTTTCTACTTAGAACAAACAATAGTTCATCAAGGAGAGTGTAATACCAGCTTGTTCCTGAAGAAAAGTAGAATTCCCTCCTTTCTTTAGATTAGTTGACTGCTTGACTTCCTGTAGCTTCTCATTGCGCCATTTTTCAACTGCTTCTGCTCCCAAAACATGAACATGGAGAAGTTAAAATAGTAAGATACAAATTTTCCACAGTATACGACGTCATGTCAAATGCCCTACTTGAACATGAGTATTCTGACAAAAGAGAACAGTATCTTTAACTTCAAAGCTGGATGGCTTTTAAAAGGCTACATGAGCAGATTGCTGTCATCAGGCAGTTACATGCTTAGAATCTAAGTGCGTGTCTAGCAATGGACTATTCCAAAGGTATCATTTGAGCAGCTACAATCCAGCATACGCAAGTGCACCAAAAGTGTCAGTCATATTTACATATCAACAAAAGAAACACCCTATCAGCAGGATGAACATAAAATGTTATATTATCACAGTCCTCACCCTCTGTAAAAAAGAAAATATACCAGTTTGCACATAAGAGGCCCTAAGAGTTCTAACTTCTTGGAACTGAACACAATTTACCTCAATACCACCACCACTCTCCTCCTTAGCAAACCGTGACATCTAGGCAAGTTATATATCTAATACGTACAGAGAATGGAAATGTGATCTGTAGATTTAAGGAGGAACAGGAACTTCAAGTAGGAGAAAAGGAGTTTGAATTGTTGTTTTAGCGAATATTGAGGACATTCTCCGATCTATAACTTAAAAGCTGAAGGATAAGGGATAAAAAAAAAGTTGTGTGGAACCAAGCATGACCAAAGAGGCAGATGAGCTAAGAGCACCAAACCAACCATTGTCATGGACGTGGATGGGAGATTTTCTTCCACTTTGTCAGATGAACTAAGATAACAGCCTTTGAAACAGACGAAGGCGTATGAACACTGAAAACCCTAAATCTTCATAAAATGCCCCCGGAATGACACTTTTCCTTAGCATCTCTTCCACCAACGCCTCCTAGCGACCAGACAAAAGTTCGTAACCTACTAATGGAATACAGTTCAAACCTACCGGCTCCAAGTAAAACAAGAACCTATTTGAATCTACATTGCAGCATTTCTAAGAGCAATATCAATTCATCCTTTCACAATCTAACTACTTCCCTCTTCAGAAAATGAAATTGATGATACTTGATTCAATAGCATAAGATTTATAACTAGCAATTCTTGTTCCAAAGAGGAGTAACACAGGGCAAAGGAACTGCAGCCTTGCTTACCTCGCTGCTCGCTGGTACTGGCATTACCGGACAAACTTCTCAATCTCTGGATAATCTCATTAGTTAGATTGTGTTTGACACCCGCCGGCAATTCCACTACTGCATCTCGTTCTCCAAACTCAACTTTCAGTTGTTTCACCTTCGAACCACACAACCAAATACCCCAAGCTCCATCAAGACAAGAACTCTCACAGACACTCAAAACCAGAGCAAGACCTAGACACTCACCAACTTCTTAAGCTTAGTCGGCTCACTGGTTCTCCGAATCCGAATTGCCTCCTCCATCTTACTAATCTCATCTGGCGTGTACTTCACAGCTACAAAAGATTCCACCAGAGAATCAAAATTCCAAGAGATCACCAAACAAGATTCTGTGCAAATTACAAACTAGAAGAGGGAGGGGTAGTTGTACCGTTAACTAAATCATCGTTGGAGTAAAGGTAAAGTGAGCCGTAGATAGAGCGAAGAACGTAGAGAGCGATGACAATGTTAACGGAGCAAACGATGAGAGTCGTCTTCTTGTACGAGCATCCCCATTTCACTCCTCTCGCCATCTCCAGCTCCTAGCTCTCCGTCTCCGCCACCTCATCCCACCACCATCATTATCCACTCCCCTCCGCCGGCGAACTCTCCGGCCTCCGCTCTCTTGGCGTTCAGAGCTCGAAAACAGAAGATCCTTCCCGTTCTCCGGCGTCGGAGCAGATCAATCGAATTGGCGGATCGAAGCAAATCGAGCGCGCTGACTGGCCGGTCTGGGAATTTTTGGTTCCGCGATTTGGGGGACGCTTCCTTTCTTTTCTTTTTCTTTCTTCCGGAACGCAGCAGGGGAAGAGTAAAATCGGTTGTCGTCGTTGGGTGATCCTTTTTTTTCCCAATAAATAGGAAAACATCCAAAAGTACCGCTGTTTAAAAAACAAATTCCAAAAATACCACCAAATCCCAAAAAATTTCAAAAATACCACCTTTTCAAAAACCGTCACCCCACCTTGCGGTTTACACGAAAACCATTTGTCGGGGGCGCGGTTTTCTATGCAAACCGCGGGCATAGGGGGCGGTTTGACCCAAAACCGCCACCCCACCCAGCGGTTTGGTCCAATTTTTTTTCCGATCAAACTCCTAACTTGGGCCGAAACTTCAAACAAACGTAACTTTGCACTCGGGTATCCAATCGATGCGATCTTTTTTCATTTCGCATAACTTTTCAAGATCTACAACTTTTAGTAGGATGAAATTTTCAAAACAGGATTATTTGTGGATATACGGGACCTTGAGAATAACTTTACCTTTACTTTTCACAAATCCATGTACATTTTGAAATTATGATTATATTAAAAGTTGTAGATCTTGAAAAGTTATGCGGAATCAGAAAAAAATTCATAACATTCGGATTTTGGAGCACAAAGTTATGACCGAATGTTATGACTTTGTGCTCCAAAATCCGAATGTTATGAATTTTTTTTTTGATTCCGCATAACTTTTCAAGATCTACAACTTTTAATATAATCATAATTTCAAAATGTACATGGATTTGTGAAAAGTAAAGGTAAAGTTATTCTCAAGGTCCCGTATCTCCACAAATAATTCCTGTTTTTAAAATTTCATCCTACTAAAAGTTGTAGATCTTGAAAAGTTATGCGAAATGAAAAAACAAATCGCATCGATTGGATACCCGAGTGCAAAGTTACGTTCGTTTGAAGTTTCGGCCGAAGTTAGGAGTTTGATCGAAAAAAGAAAAAAAAATTTGGACCCAACCGCTGGGTAGGGTGGCGGTTTTGGGTCAAACCAGCGGTTTGATCCAAATATTTTTTTTTATAACCGCCCCCTAGGCCCGCGGTTTGCATAGAAAACCGCGCCCCCGACAAACGGTTTTCGTGTAAACCGCAGGGTGGGGTGGCGGTTTTTGAAAAAGGGTGGTATTTTTGGAATTTTTTGGGTTTGAGTGGTATTTTTGGAATTTTTTTTTAAACAGTGGTACTTTTGGATTTTTTCCCAATAAATGACTGTTTTTTTTTTCTCTCAGTCAGATTGCTTGTGTAGTTGCAATAACTAGCACTAGCTCCGACACGTTGGTTAGGAGAGTTTGTATGCAGGGTGGTTTGGGTTTAGATATTTTAATCACCCGATTCATGCACTACGGTTTGGAAAATATTAAACTCCAAACCACCCAAAAAAAAATCTAAAACCTACGATTTGTTTCTAATTGGGTTGGGTCGGGTTGGCGATATTTTTAAATAAAAACCCAACCCAACAGAAAATATGTAATTATTCTACACCATAAGAATATTTTATAACTAATTCAAACGAATAAACCAAGGTTAAAGGTATCAAAATTCACAAATGTTGTTTGAATTTTAATAAAATTTGATTTACTTCAACTTATGTCTAGTTTTTTTCACGACATTTGTTGAAATAGGCTAAAAAGGTTACAAATGAACGCATCAAAAATATGTTATTCTATTAAAATTGTACACAAGAAAAAAAAATTACGTGAATCATAGCTATATTAAATTTATGTCTAAACTTTAAGCCGAAGAATGCATTAGATTAGGAAGATCTTAAGAGAAAAACATGGCAAAATATCTTAATTTTCTCATAAGTATGACTATATACGACATAAATATTTTTTTGGATACAAACTCATACCAATAATTGGAACACGGGTTGGGTCGGGTTCTACGGGTTGTGTAATCCAAAATCCAAACCCAACCCAAAAGAGGCGGGTTGTACAAAAAAAAAAAAATAATCCCCCAACCCAAAACCTTGATTTTAGCGATAAATACAGGTGAGTTAGGTCGGGTTGGACGGGTGGGTCGATTTGCGGGTGTGTTTGTTCACCCCTATTTGTATGTGTTGTTAGTTGTTACTCCTTATCATATGTGTGAATAACAAAAATGTGCAACTAATAACAATATGGGTGATTATAAATAAAACATTTATATTGGAATTTTGATGTAGTTTAATATCCATCATTTTTTTTAGATTTGTAATATTTTTTTTATCATGACACCAGGTTATAGATATCAATTTATATGATTTGAAAGACACATTACATATTGATCAACAATACTAATTAGCATGTTGAATATGTACCATAATAACTTGAAACTTCTATTGATACCACATTAACCTTGCGTATTTTGAACAAAATATATGCCATAGAATTTTTTACAGTTTTGTACACAAAAGTTAGGGTGCCAGAGTATAATCCATTAGATAAACCAAACAGTGTCAAACGGCCAAGATTCAACCTGACTATTCTTGCCATGAGTTAAGGGCTTACGACATAACAGAATAACCAAATGAGTAATATATGTGCATTGTAGAAGCTATACTTCAAAGGCTTTTAGATGTTAATGGCTAACGTAACTATGACAGACAAAAGTTTTAGTATCACATGACTAATAAAAAGTTTGTGGCCGATATGACCCAAATATAACAACAACCCTTGGGTATACTATGAAGTTAGCATGATATATTATGAGCATCGAGTATCAAATTAAAATCCTGACAATTAAGATTAAAAGTGATTTTTGTCTGAAGATACCATGATTACATATTGATTAAAAGGTTTCTAAGTTTTATCCACAGTATATTGATTTTCAGACTCCATGCACAACTCGGATGAAGAAATATAGTTTAGCCATTGAAGTGAATTTCAACTTTTCCAAACACTAGTAGATGTGACGGGCTGATTAACTTTAAGATTTATGATAAATTTCACCAAATGGAATCGCTCATTTGCACTCTAACACATTTGCTGCATTCTCCCTTTTTTCAGTAACGTACAAAAGAAAATGGAAAATGGAATTTCATAGGGTATGGTAAAAGGAATGGATGCTAAAACCAAACAATTAAACTTTTAAAGGAGATGAAATTAACGGTGTAGATGTGGAATCAGAGTGAAAAGAAAATATCGAAATTTTTATTCAATTCGAAAAATTACACTTCGCAAAACAGGAACCCTAGCCAAGCCAAGAAGCTTGGCCCTTTGAAAATGAAAAGAAACACTCAAACCCCTACTTCCCAAGGATCAATCACCCGATCAACACACCCTGTGATTGTCCTACTGAAGTAAGTACAATAATGGACCCATTGACGAACAAAGTAGATACCCAATCTCACTCGCTCTCAACTGCCAAGTTTGAAATAACCTAAGTGATTCCTATTTATAGGATTGATCAAGAAGTGACCGTTTGAGCAGACCTCAGACCCGTTTCCTATACACCTTGTAGATATCATCATTTTGAGGAGTAGAGGTGGTGGTCATCGACCTGGTTTCTTGTGAAGGGAGCAGAGGTCTGCGAAGGTGAAAACCTCGAGAAGGAAGAAGACTTCGAAGGACGATACCCAAGTCAGGTTGCTGCTTTGTTGCTTTAGTGGTTTGACATCGTTTTGGGCAAGGAAGAGACGACATCGTTTTGACAACCCGCTTCCTTTCAAATCCCATGCAACAATTTCCCCCTTCGTCCGAGAAGTGTGAGGATACCTGCAAAATGAAAGAAAGGAGCAGCAGACCTCGATTCTAAAAGAAAACATAGTTGCATTAATGAAAAACATGGGTACAGTAGGAGCATCATGGGGATATGAGATTTACAAAATAAAGGAATATCAAATGATATTCCCCCTAAGCAAAAGCATCTAAACTACTGGAAACCTAATCTCATTCCCCCATAACAAAAGCATTATCCTGAAACCAGGAGAGCAATACAAAAGATTGCTCGACTACCTATGCAAACACAGGAACAGAAGGTTAGGAGGGAGGTGCAGAGGCTGCAGAATCATCAGAGGAAGAGTTGCCTTCAGAAATGGTGAACACAAGGTCACCAGTCTTACTGGGTTCACCAGCAGACTTAGCCTTTTTAACAGAAGAAGGCTTAGGAGCAGGTCCAAGAAGGGAAGCAGAGGGGTGAGGAGGAGGAGGAATGTCAGTAGGCAGATCAAGCACCATGAGCACATTTAGTGCACTGACATACATAGTGGAGGAGATACTCCGAAACTCAGATAAATCGACCCCCAGGTTGATCAGTAGTCGGGTTATGATGGAGGCAAAAGGCAGGAGCCCTTTGTAGTTTTCATCAGCCACAGGAAGGAGCTGGCCGAACATAATACTGGCGAAATCGAGCTTTCGCCTGGCAGTTGCACTGGAGATGATCCATAGATCCATATGAAGAACTCAATCCTGGTTAAAGGAGCGAGGAAAGAAGACGTGGGTGAGGAAATAATGGAAAATTCTCACTCGAGGAGGTAACCAGGCAGCAAGAATTGGAACATCAGAGCCACCTGTTGGCTTGGTGGAGAAGTTGTTGTATTCCACTTCAATTTTGAATTCGTGCTTCCAGAATTCAGAAGGATGGGCTATCGTAAGGCCTTGAGAGGGAAAACCGAGAATTGCATTTAGGGCATCGACTGGTATAGTCAGCAAGTGACCATAAACCAGTGTGGTGAAGCTCCTTGAGCTCACTCCTTGACTTTGAAGATTCGAAAAGAAATACTTCACGGCTCCAGGACAGGCAGGGTGGAGGGGTTGACAAAGAAGGAAATCCCATCCAAGTCCTTCGATCAGGGAAATAATGTCATACTTATAGACATTAAATTCGTAGGGATCAAGCTGAGTAATGTGGTGAATCCTCCTCTTGTCAAAATGACGAAGATACCGATGATGGTTCAACACCCTGGGTTCATGGAACATATATCCAGAGAAGGTGTGAACCAGTCCATCGAATCGAAAGGGATGAGGAATACAATCTCTCATTGTTGGAAAAGCTCAAGGGTTTGCTGAGATTTTTAGGATAAGGAGGAGGTTTTTTTTAGTTTAGAGGAGCAGTGAGGAGATTGAGGA